AAAAAGCTGTTCCCTTGCCATATAAGATCCCTGAGGAAACATATTATAGCGTGATTTCCAATCCTCAGGCACGTCTCTTCCCTTTTCTGAATTGATATATATTCCAGAAACATGTAACATAAGCTCTGTTAGTTCCTCTTCATGAACAAGAGGAAGGAGGAATAGGATGAGACACATCAAAATACTGTGTTTTATAGCTCCTTCCAGTTATTTCCTGACAGTAATTCTGGTAATTATCAGTAATTCCTGAACAGTAGATATGTGGCAGAGAGCTTAGCCCCGAAGGAATTTTAAAGAGTCATTGTGGGTCATTATTTCTCTTTAAATCCAGGCATCTTCTCAGCAATCAGTTACTAACCACATAATAGCTCTTGTTAGTAATAAAAAAGAAAAGAAAAGAAGTCTTTGTAGGACATCTTTCCAAATCACCTCAACTATTCATTACACATTTTGCTTTAGGGGTTAAGGATTTCATCTCACTTGATGTATCTCCTGTATAACTTTCAAATCTCCTGTCCACCCTTAAGCACTTAACCTCTCTTTTCAGAAATTAAGTGTGGAATATATAATATGCAAGCTGAAATTTCTAAAAGCACATAAGGGAATAATTTGGAAAGTTAACTGTACGTTGAATAAATTAAGCTTCTTTGTGCAGCAAGAGAAAAGGGCTGTTTTTTATTATTATTTTTTAAAGCTCAAGTCTATCAAAATTAGATGCATGAAATACTTCTGATAAATTTCAGAGGCACTTCCTCTTTCCACTTACTTTCCTATTGCTAATTCTCTGTGGTGCAAAACATTCCTTGAAAGACTGAGAAACGTTCCGGTGAGCCCACCATCATTGTGTCAGATGAATTTTTCTGTGCCAAACTGCAAAAAAACACAATATGATATACGTAGTTTTTGACTTAAAAGTTCTCATTTAATTTGTAGTTACAACAGCACTGAAAATAGTGGTTTACAACCGATTCTCACATATATCACCATTGCAGCATCCCCATGGTCACATGATCAAAATTCAGCCATTTGGCATCCAACATTTATTTTTGATGGTCGCGGCATCCCAGGACCATCTGATCACCATTTGTGACCTTCCCATCTGCTTTCCAATGAGCAAAGTCAATGGAGGAAGCCAGATTTGCTTAACAACTATATTATTTGCTTAACAATTGCCGTAAAAAAAGTTATAAGATAAGACCACTTAATATCCACATTGCTTTTCAATAGAAATTCTGCTCCCAGTTGTGGTTGTAAGTCAAGGACTATCTTCATTGCTTCAGCACAGAACTAGTTTCAAACCAAAAGGTTTCAATTTTTTGGCAGCCCCCATCGCTTTTTAGCTGTCTATAAGGAGCAGGAACTCAATCACATGTGGAATCTTGTGCTTATGCTGTCCCAGGTCTTTATTGAACTGCCTATGCCCAGTTATTCAGTCTCTAGCCAAAACCCACACCTTCTTCTGGTTCCACCAGAGACTCTGGCAAGCCAACAAAGAGAATGGGTTAAATTACAAAACTTTGTCAGCAGTTAGATCGGCCACCTACAGCATGCAAATCCAAGGCTAGAAGTAATCCACAAGGTGAGGCACAAAGTCAAGGCATCCATCCAAGGTCCAAACACAAGTCCGAAGGCAAGAAACATGGGAAGCAGGAACACAAAGCAAGGTAACCAGACATGTTGTTCTAGGAGCATCCTTCTCTTTGGACAGACTTAATTAGTTAATGCTGGTACAGCCCCTCATGATGGGTGAAGCTTCTGCCTCATGAGTAACCTGGCTGACCAGTCTGGGCTATGGTAACGTGGGTAGCAATCGGGGCTCTCAGAGGGGCGATGGGGCTTAGGGCTAACATGCCATTCTTGATGCCCAGAGCTGTCACATCAACAATGATGGGCTGGACTTGATGACCACCAGTGTTATGTGGATTATCAACAATTCTGCCATCTCTCAGCCCTGTGTGCCCTTGGATGGGGAGGAGGGGTTGACTCCACCTCCTCATACTCACTGACAGCTGCTCTCACTCCCTGCCTGGAGCATCCAGGCAGTTATAATTCCTCTGTTTGAGTTCAGCCAGCTGCAGTTGCTCCATTGAGCTGGAGCTCTCTGCTCTCTGGTCAGTGACTGCAACAACCCCAGGTTCATTGCCCTGTCTTCCCAAAAGGTGCCAGAGACTGGCTCCTCCTCCTCCTCCTCTGAACTAGCATCTAGAGCAGGGGTCTTCAAACTTGGCCTTTTTATGACTTGTGGATTTCAACTCCCAGAATTCCACAAGTCACAAAAGGGCCGAGTTTGAAGATCCCTGATCTAGAGAGATCAGTGCTGCATCCATTACACGGCATCACAATTACAAGCTGGGTGTTTAATAAGCCCGTTTCATATTGTTTAACAAGCAGCATGCCTCTAGTTTGAGAAGGTCTGCCTGCTTACCTTATTACAGTGTTTAAATATTTTTTCTCCATAATAATGTTTTTATACCCCCTCCACCTGCTGTTTCAGAGTTTGTTGCCATCTAAATTATTTCCTTAATTTAGATTTGGAACAAGCAAACAAATAAAGTAATGTGCACACATGCACACACATGTAACTGTGGTTTAGTGGGTTTATTAATATTTCCCTGCAACTCTCTTCACCAAAACCCCAGAACTGTCAGCCACAAGTCTAGCCACAAGCAGACCAATGCTAGTCCACAGAGCAATGACCAATGAGTCCACAAGGCACTTGGAAGTTTCCCAACCAAAATAAATCCACCAAGCAAAATTAAATCCACAATACAAGAGGGTTCACAAGATAAGAAAAAAGTTCACAAAGCACAATCCAAGAGTGTTAATCCAAAGTGAGACAAGAATAACAACAACCAGAAAACACATAGTTAGGAAATGAACACATTGTTCCCAGCATCACTTCCATCTGTCTGCTGTGCTAAATAGCCAGCTTCTGGTGCAGCCCATCAAGAAGGGCAAGGCTTTTGCCTCATAAGTAAACTGGCTGACCTTCTCTGCTCCTGCCTTTTTTCTGCCCTACATGTTCTTGGATCAGGTGCAGAAGGCATTTCTTCTTCCTCATCACTGACCAGCTGCAGCTGCATATTTTCCTCACTTGAAGCCTCAGGCCTGCCTGCTGCAGCTGTGCTTCAGCCAAATCTCTCTCAGATGGCTGTTTGGAGCTATTGACCAACTCCCCTCCAGACATGCCTAGAACTGGTTCATTTTCCTTTGATCTGACATCTGAAGAGATATTTGGGGAAGCATCTGGGGGAATCATTACAAGTAGTTTCTAATATGTCATGTTATTGAGCATGGCTTACTTTTAAAGCTTTATAATTTGTAATCTATTGTAGTTTTTAAAGTTTTAATATATAGCAAGTCAACATTAGCCTTTTCTTGTATTGGAATTGCAAACACAAAAGATGAAGGTTCAAAATGTAGAGCAATCATGGGAATATCAGTGAAAAAAACCATACCTAGGATACACATAATCATTGTAATCATCCAGTTTCTGAACTTTTGTGCTTTCATATTCTTTAAAATAGCAGGAATATCCAGAATGGAGTGATGTTGTTGAGATCTACATTCTAGTCCACAGAAACTCACTGGATGATTTTAGTTCTCTTCTGTCGCTCACTCCAATCCATTTATTTATTTAGCATATGGCATATCATACATGGGCTAGCAATATATATTAGCATTAAACCTAGATTAATAAAATACAATAAAATACAAATGTTAAAAAGATCTATGTTCAAATACCAATGTCTAAGCCAGGGGTGTCAAACTCAATTTCATTGAGGGCCGCATCAGCATTGCAGTTGCCCTCGGGGGGCGGGTGGGTGGGGCCTGGGTGGGTGGAGCCTACTGGGTGGGCATGGATGGAGTGGGTGTGGCCTACTGGATGGGCATGGATGGAGTGGATGTGGCCTGGGTGGGCATGGCCAGCTCTACATTATTCGCATCAAAGGTGCCTGTGGGGGCCTGGGCAGAGTGGGACAGATCTGAGGATCTCTGGCAGAAGGGGGGGGGACCGGGGCAAGCGCCAAGGCATGGTCCATTTCTTCATTCCTCACAAAGGGTGACACCTCCCCAGCATGCACCCAGGGGGTGGGGCCGACACAGCAGGGGCTGGTTTCTCGCTGCTTCTAGACGGCTTTATAGAGCTAAGACTGAATGCGTTTCAGCATAGATGGCCACCACAAAATTGTACATTGGCTCCCGGCCGGCCTGGGCCAGGGCCAAGGCAGCGAGGGCGGTTCCCTCGTTGTTTCCAGGATGGATTCACAGGCCACATGAAACCACTTCGCAGGCCTCACCCAGCCCCCAGGCCTTGTGTTTGACATGTCTGGTCTAAGCCATCTAACCACTGAAGTGCAGCATTGTTTATATTTTTTTAAAAAATCAGATACTGTACCAGTATATGCCCTCAGCTTACAGCTGATCACAATGTGATCTACATTTTGACATGGGACCTCACAGTCACACTGAGGGGAGGATACTTTGCCCCATTTATACAGTATGTCCTGACAGATGCTGTATGAGATGCAAATCCTATTCAGGATTGTCCATTGCTGATGTGGTAGTTCAAAGCCTGGCACTTTTTTGTGCAGTCAGTTTATATGTCTTCCTATTTCTGGGCATTCAGCAACCCATTTGATTCCATTGGGAATCAATATTAAAGTTGTTGGGCAGATGTTGAGCAAGTGCCAGTGGGGGTTTCCTGGATTTGAGTCTTTTGGCTAATAAATGAGGAAGGTCGGCATACACTGGTAGGAGTGAGTTCAAATCACTCCAACCCAACTCATAGAGTTATTGTTGTGATAAAATGAAGAGAGATCCAGATATAATCTACCTTAAACTCCAGGAAAAAGGATAATTATAAATCTAACAAATAATTATAATAAGGTCAGTGGTTTAGTGAAAGATTATATTTACAGTAAGTTATTTTATTGACTGGAAGTATCAGAATGTATATTACTTAAAGAATCTGAATCATGTTTCTTTGATTATAACAGGTACCTCAGTCCTTCAGGTGACAGCCACAGATGCAGATGATCCCACCTATGGAAATAGTGCCCGAGTAGTTTATAGTATTCTTCAGGGACAGCCATATTTCTCTGTTGATCCTAAAACAGGTAAGTTGTATTTTTTTTCCATTATGCCTTCATTGGCTACATGAACAATATTATATTAGGGTGGGTGATAATGGTGACTCCATTGTCATTATCATCTCTGTTTTTAACATATTGCCATAAGTACCCCACAAAATATTACATATGCATACTGCACAGACACTTTGGGCAATTTTAGGAATTCCTCCTTTTTATGTCCAAAGCTTTTCCTTGCTATATATGAGTAAAAAAAGAAGGAAAATCTGACCAACATATTCACCTGTAGGTTTTTATAACTCATTTAGAGGATGACAATATTCATTTGAAAGGTAGACTGTTTTCTAATTTGCTTTTGAAATTAGGTGGTTGGATTCAGTAAAAAAATACTTTAGCAAGAACAAAATATTAAATATTCAATCCAGGGCCATTTCCCCCCCCCTTTTTTAATAAAAGTAGGTAATAGAAGAGCTTTTAAATGGTATCAGTTATTATTTCCAATGGATGCTAAAATAAAAGGTGACTGTTTAAGCAAGATGCTGTTCTGACTCAAACATATATTTCATTTTTTGGCTATAAAACAGTCCCTTGACTGAAGCATAGTGCTTTTGTGACACTGATTTCAAAACTTGTGCCTTGTCGGATTTAGGAGTTCTGATTAATTACAGACATTTTATGCTGTTAAAAATATGGCATTTCTCTTTCATTCTAAAATATGAAAGTATAGTATCAACACAACCCTAGGATTATAGTTGGATTAGTCATTAGAATGTTGCCGTTTAAAAATTAAGCAAATATAACTTAGTTTTGACAAATGAGTACTTTTGGAAAGATATGTGGCTGATGTATATAAGTGAGACTTATAATTCTGTATAACATATTTGTTCAATGGTTGATACAATCTTTTATTAATTGGTTTTTCCATGGGTTTTCTTAATGTATATGTCGCTTAGCAAACAACATGACCTTTGTATTATTTGCATTTTCTTAATTTTTTCAACTCTTCTTCCATTTTTACCAATGTATGTTGAAGACATATGTATATAAATGAGAGACATGAATTAAAATAACTTGAAATTATAAATCATACATAACCTTATACAATAGCCTTTTGTTCAACAATTGAAATTATGCAATACATAAATAATACATATTACAAAAGTCATGGAGAAATTGAGATGGAAGAAAATTTGGACATATTCTATTATTAAATGGTATGAGTATCTCAGCCACATTGGAAGAAAATCCTCCCCCCCAAAAAAAACCCCCACATACTTTTATCGGTAGTCAAAAGAGCCACACTGGCACAGCTCTATACTGATTCAAATTATGATGGAACTCTTTTAAAAGAACATTTTTTTTCTAATTTTTAGTGAATTAATTTAATAAAACTGAATAATTTGGTATACATAAGAAAAATAATTAGAAATTAGGAGGCTTTGCGAATCCTTTGTTAATAGTCTTATTGACTCTTATGATCCTCTTCATCCCTTCTCCATTAGATTGGAGTTACTCTAATGAGATGTGCAGCCATATAAATTGTTCAAATAAATAAATATGGTAGACTAATATATCCAATGCCGCATGCTGCTTACCCAGGGCCTCTTACCCAAGCACCAATTTTCCACCTTAGTGTCTAAAGTTAAGAAGTCTATTTCAGATTAGGAGGAAGGATTGCCTTGTGAATGGCAGAATGGCCTGGTCAAGAAAACAAAAATCACATCTGAGTTAACTAAAAGGAAGGTCTTAATTCAGTCTTTTCTATTGATCAGGGGCCAAGTCCCAACAATTGGTATGTGAACAAGAGCACAAAAACAAAAATATATTACCAATCCAAACATACAGTTTATAGCTAATTTAATTCTGTCCTTGAAGTACTCTTTTCTTCTTTGTCAGTATTACCTCTGTTCTTTTCTCCTTATCTTCTCATTGGGTGTGCTTCCCAGAGGGTAGGACCTTCAACTCTTGTTGAACTATTGTGAAACACTTAGAAAACTAAGAGATTGGAAAATGTTTCTGAAAAACCTTTCCATCTTCTAGCCTTGCACATTAAGATGATAAAGTTTTAAAAACAAACAAACAATCCGTTATTTAACCCTGCACATTAAAACAGGTTTTATCTAAAAAAAAAAAAAAACAAGGATGCAAACTTTGATTCATTTCCATGGTAGCCAACATGGTTTATATTGAAAGATCATATAAGCTGCAGACCACCAATTTAAAGTTTTAATTATTTATACATATATGTGGCCAAAATAGGTAGCTTTCTTAAAAGACCATGCAGCATTTTTTTCTCTATCCATCACCTGAGACTCGGCATGGTACATTGATTAAGGTGTCAGAAGATCTAATCCTCCCTTAGATATGAAAACTCGCTGGGTAATTTTTGGCTCTAGACTGGGTACTCGAAAAGACATAAACATTTATCTACTAACCTGCACTACACCAGTAAGGCAAGATTACAGATTATAAACTATAACATTCAATGAAGAGAAATTTATCGATCGATGGTCTAACCTTTCATATTTTAAATATTTTTAAAAGTGATGGGTTTGGGTTTTTCTAATGATTTTTTTAAAAAGGTCACATGTTGTATTAATACAGCAATTGTCCAATAGATCCCTTCCAGTAGAACTTATAAGTATATATTTTTAAAAGCACAGCATACTGAGAACAAAATTGAACTATGGCAGAAGGTTTTCTTTTTTCTTTTTTTTTCTTTCTGTCTAGTTCTAGGAATGAGCCCATGATATTTAAGGTGCAATTAAATACTTGCTAGATTTTGCTTGTGGTCAATACCCATTTTATCTTGAATTATTTTTGGAATGAAAACACCCAATCCATTTCTTGAGAAATTTCATGTAAATTTCATGTAAATCATTCAAGCAAGTTGCACTGAAAATAATGAGTCATATAGAAATGCAGGGAATAGGTTTCACTGCAAATAAATTGTCCTTTGTATTATTTAATCTATGGCTGTAATTCTGGGTATTCTTGGTGCAGCTATTGAATAAAGATCACAATTCTGGGTAGTTGGAGTGTATCTTATTAAACAAATAAGTGAAATAACCATCCCATATCTCATTCAAAGATAAGTATTCCTCACTAAAACATGGGAGAAGTGTTCTATTAACACAAAACAAAGAAGGAGAGGAAGAAAAAAAAGAATATGATTTGAAGATGTAATGTTCAATTAAACTTTAGCCTTTTGATGATAGCCTCCACTGAGTAATTTAAAATATATTATTATCCATGATTGATTTCTACTTTGTAGTGTTAAGAGGAGGTCATATTAAAGAATCAAAGTTCATCCTCTCAGTTATACTTTTTTTATAGTGCAGACATATGTTCCTAAGTGAGCATTTGGCTTCAATTAAGCTAAAATTTATTGATAATTCTGTCAGTGATTATTTCAGTTTCTCTATAAATATCATGCCCTTGAGTGGGAAATTTTCCCCCTCTCTCTGTAGTATATCTATATATATATGCCAATTATTGATGTTGCTGCTATAATTTTATTCCACGAAATTCACCTAAATTCAACTGGGTAAAAAACAATCTCATAATATTTTATATTTTTTTCCTCCAGTTTATAAACCCTGCTTTTTCTTTATTACCATCATTTTCTTTTCTTTTCTCTTATCGTCTTTTGTTACTGTCATCCCTTTCCTCTAAAATTTTATCTGATTTACTTATAAAAGAAAATTTGAAATTTTGGCTTCAGTGAAGTATTCAAGAATGGAGAAGAGACAATATTTTTCAATAAGGACCAATAAATCTGGAAAAAGAAAGCTGAGCCTAACTCCACATGAAACCTGCTGCAATCATATTGATCTTTCCTGAGATAGTTATTTAAATCCAAATTTACTTTCGGGGGAAAAATCATACTTATATTTATAAGAAGAGAATTGTTCTAAAGAAAAGACAGGATCTATATGGTAAACAGATATATGTGCTTATGAGTTAAGAGTGCTAGCCTCATCTCTTCCTTGAAAATCTATTGATAGCATTATGAGTTACCAAAACATATTATTCATGAAGGTGATATATTAGATCAGCATGTTTCTGCAGGTTTTGAAATTTGTTCAATGTTTATTTGGCAAATGTGTTGCTCGAAATACCTTTAAGGATTTCTCAAAGCAGCAATCGCTGCTACCTTGGAACAAAACTTTCATGATACGTATTACACACTACTAAAGCCAACAGAATATTCCATACATTCATACCTTCATGAAACTTATTTTTAAATAAATGCATTAAATTAACTTAGAGGCAAGTAGCAGCAAATAAATATGTCTTTTAACTTCTTTCCAGAGTGATTTTTATATTAGAAGCATCAAGTTTTCTAATACCTAGGTGGCCTCAAACTAACATTGGATGGAAAGATATGGATGTCTCTGCATTTCATACTAAGTGCAGTTTTTCTGGGGAGGGGAAATCTGTCCTTCTTGTAAGCAACAAGTGGGGGGGAGACAATTAAGGTCAGAACAGGATACTGTGTGTCAAGGTTGCAGATAAATTGTATCAAGGTTGCAGAGCGTTGTTGAATCTCTTTGCTGTTACCATCAAGGAGCTATCTGGACCTATCTTGCAGTCCAGAAATGGTAGTCCTAACAAGTGCTGAACTACGTTTTTCTTGATGTGTCAGAAAGTTAACATGAATACAAAGACCCTTCTTTTTCAATCTGAAACATGTCTCTGTTTCTATCCCAAAGATGCTTTTTCAGAGGCAACTGGACTTTCTTGTTTTTCTTTGAAGAAGTTTCTCTTCTCCTCCAAAAAGCTTTTTGGATGAGAAGTGAAACATCTTCAAAGAAAAACAAGAGAGTCCAGTTGCCTCTTGAAAAAGCACCTTTGGGACAACCATGACCGGGATGATTGAGAATCTCCATTGTTTCTATGCTCACATACTAGAATATTTGACATGAAAAAAATGAGCTGGGAATTGAAATTAGAAATATAGAGATCTCTTAGTTACTAAGGGTTGCAACCTCGGATAATAAAACATAATGTAATACAAATCTTCT